GGTATGGAACTCTTATCCTGCATAAAAAAACCGAACAAAACCATTTAAACTCTGTTTGACCACACATCATGATGTCCCGGTACCACTAATAAGAAAATTGTTCTCTATGAATAAGCTAAACATCTAAAGTATAATGCCAAAAAGGTGTCCATCATTTTGATAGTACCAAACCATGTATCTTTATTACAATTTGTTTCCAATTCTATGTAGATCTATAAGAATCAAGGCACAAGTGGAAAACTCATTTAATCAACTTTTAAGGTCCATGGAACATGAATGGCTCAAAATAATTCCTTCCATATTTCAAGAAAATGATGAAGGCTCTGTACGATCTGTTCTGCAGCTTGTTTGGGTCCTTGGTGACTTCCCAATGTAGGCCCCACCCACAGTAAGTAGATAGGCATAAATCCATACTATTGCCACAGAGAATATAACAGCAAAACGATCTAATATATTCTTTCTTGGGCGTATGACGTGGGCCAAATACTGCAATAATAGGAATATAAATATTATATCAAGTGGAAAACAGAGGAATTATACATGACAAATGCTGCAACCATGTGCAAAATGAATTCCATCCTAATACTTGTAAATACAAGATCATATTGGTGTAAACGACATTAAACTTGATCAACGAACATATTGAATGGAAGTGAGATCTAAAAGTAGGAAAGGGATTATGATAGAAAAGTGTACCAAAGAATGCTACCTGAGAAAAGAGAATCGGAATGATGAGCTGCGGCAATCCAATTTCAACACATATTGGCAACCTAGACAACCATCACAAATTCTTTTAGTGAAAATCAATAGCCAATAGAATTAAAAGTGTGCAGAGGAAAGTCATCTGAGAGAGAGAGAGAGAGAGGAAGACCCTGTAAAGATCCATACGTACCCTAGGGAACCCAAACTCATAGAGCCCGAAACCAACAAGAGAAACCAAAGGAACAATTGAAAGTGGACTCAGAAACCTGCATTATACAGACATAGTGACTTAGCTATAACTTAAAATACTGCATTATAATATGGTCTAGCTATCATGTAACAGCATGAGACTATAAATGATATCCACAAAATATTGTATCTATGAGAAATTAACCATGTCAATACAAATAAAAAGACGTGAGGTTTTTTTTTTTTCTCCTTTCAAGAGCATAATTCCTTCAATAGCATAATTCCTAATATGGAAATTATAAATAACCAGCAAATTAATTTCTGAATTTACATAGAAATCATCAAAGAACTATAAATTTTTTAAAGAATCTAATCAAATCATCAAAAAAACTCTTCTTAGAATAGGCCCACAGTTTAGAAAGCGAAGAAATTCAAGATTCAAATTAATCTAGAAGATCCGTCACAAATATCTATTTCTAATAAGTGTTCACTATTGCCAAATAAAAATTAAAATGTGTGTACAAATATACGAATGCAATCTATTCCTTCAGCTAGTTCATGAAAGTTCACTTATTACCTGTGGTTATTCCTATTTCTTCAAAAATGCCTAAATCCTAATCAATAGCATTTGTAGAAAAAAAAAATTATATGAATACCCTTATACACATATCCCATTGCATATTTGCATATACTCAGCAGTACTGAGCTAATGGGGGATGCCCGAAGGCCAAATCCCAATAGGCAATAGGCGATGAGAAAATTAGAAAACTTAAATATTTACAAAAGTACCCTTAAAGCTCGTGTTTATGGAGGGAATCACTGCGAGGCTTATACCCAGCGAAATCAAACAAATAATACCAAACAAAACAGAACAACTGATGTAGAATGAAACTCAGAAACCATACAGACTTGTCGACGGTACATACCTTGGGTAATAGCCAAATTAATCAGAGGACCAATAGAGGTACCTTGAAAAGGTGCAGCAGCTATAAGTAATGAAACCCTCTTTTTCTGTCCATTATCAAGATCGTGTATAATAAATTAGAAACAAACACTATGTGCACGTCTTCAAACTAAACAGTTGACAATGAAAGCAATATAAACAGGAGAATGGTGGAGACACAAAGACATCTACAAAGCATGCTGAATCCGGACGGAGACACGGTGCCTGTCTTCGCCTCGCACGGAGACACACCATGTCTCCATGCGCGACGGAGAGACGGTGGCTGTCTCCGTGTCTCACGGAGACACGCCGTGCACGAATCCGTGGCTACGTTGAACAAGAACACAGAAATCGATTTTTACAGGGGAGATTTCTTGCCTGAGCGATTAGGGCAATAATTCCTTCCATATGGGTTCTGTAAATATTAGTTTTCTTTGAAGCTATCATTGGTGATTCCATTGACAGACGTAGCAAGGAGTTGAAACGAACTTCTGAATGGCTCGTGGAATGGAACCTGTTAAACACTTTTATAGCAAATGTAAAGAATTAAAAATA